GTTAAGAGTGCTCAGGATGGTTCACCATACATTGTTCTGGGTTAAGAGTACTCAGGATGGTTCACCATACATTGTTCTGGGTTAAGAGTACTCAGGATGGTTCACCATACATTGTTCTGGGTTAAGAGTACTCAGGATGGTTCACCATACATTGTTCTGGGTTAAGAGTGCTCAGGATGGTTCACCATACATTGTTCTGGGTTAAGAGTACTCAGAATGGTTCACCATACATTGTTCTGGGTTAAGAGTACCCAGGATGGTTCACCATACATTGTTCTGGGTTAAGAGTACTCAGAATGGTTCACCATACATTGTTCTGGGTTAAGAGTACTCAGGATGGTTCACTATGGAATGTTTGTCAGTTTATTTCATCCCAGTCATTTCTTGGATTGTAAAATTAATTTTACTAAACATTCCAAAACGCAGATGTGATTTACACAGATTTTGCGAAGGCGTTTGACAAATGCGACCATCAAGTGATAGCGCACAAAATGAGGGCCATGAGGATTACGGGGAAGGTAGGCAGATAGATTTTCGGGTTCCTAACACAAAAAGTAGTGGTGAACAGGGCAAGATCCAGCATCAGCGAGGTCAAAAGTTCAGTGCTCTAAGGCACTGTCCTGGCACCTCTGCTGTTTCTCATCCTCATAGTAGATATAGATAAAAACACCCGGCACACTTCTGTGGACACTGAAAAAGCACAAGAAAATATAAGCAGGGTTTTCCAGAGGGCAGTGGAGAACAACATGACGTTCAGTGGTGATAAGTTCCAGCTGCTTAGGTATGGAAAGAATGAAGAACTCAAAAGGAGCACTATATACAAAACTCAAGAAGGTCACCAAATAGAACGTAAGGAACACGTAAAAGACCTGGGAATAATTATGTCAGCAGACCTTTCTTTTAAAGACCATAACAAGACAAAGATCACGACAGTCAGGAAGATGCCGGGGTTAGTATTGAGAACTTTCAAAACAAGGGAAATAATGCCGATGGTGACACTCTTCAAATCACTAGTGCTCCCATCATTTAGAATATTGCTCAGTGCTGATAGCCCAGTTCAAAGCAGGAGAAATATCGGAGCTGGAACAAATATAGAGGTCGTTTATGGCTCACATTGAGCCAGTAAAGCACCTTAACTACTGGGAACGTCTTCAGGTCTTGAACATGCACTCATTGGAGCGGAGAGAGAGAGAGAGAGATGCATGATAATATATACCTGAAAAGTACTGGCTTGGTCCCCCAATCTGCACACTGCCATAACAACATACTGGAGTGAGAGATATGAGAGGAAGTGTAGAATAAACACAGTGAGGAGCAGGCGTGCGGTGGGGACAATAAGGGAACACTGTATCAATATCCGGGGTCCCAGACTATTCGGCATCTTGCTAGAAGATAGAAACACGGCTGGGATAAGTGTAGAAGCCTTCAAGAGGAAATTAGACAAGTATCTTCACTAGGTGCCAAATCAACCAGGCTGTGATGGATATGTGGGGCAGCGGGCCTCTAGCAGCAACAGCCTGGTTGACCAGGCAAGCACCAGACGAGCCTGGCCCATGGCCGGGCTCAGAGAGTAGAGAAACTTTCGAAACTCTTCAAAGGTATATGAAAGGTATTCCCTCCAGCTGACTGTGATATAGGTTATCAGATGAATATAATTATACTTGTTTGTACGTACTTCAGTGATGTTGTTATCAGAGTTCTATATACTCTACCGTAGTTTTTTTTTTTATGTAGTAGCCCCTGTTATCAGTAGGTTGAATGTAAACTTACCGTCTGTGTAAGCTCTGCTGGGTTTTATATTTCGCGTCAGGCTGCTAACCCTGTGCTGCCGCCTGGTGAGGTCTAGGCCTACCTAGACCTCAATTTGCGACACAGCATCCTCAGTCACTGACGCTTCCTTCGCTGAAGACTACATCTGCCACCAGGGCCTCCAAGAGAGATGTTGCAAGGCGGAACAAGACTGCTTTGGGGCCCGTGGGGGCAAGCTGAGGCTTCTCTCAAAATTGAGAATTTGAAGTTCAATAAAACCATTGGTAAACTTTCATAAATACTTTATTTCCTGCGCACCAGAATGACCAGATAACATACTTTATACATTTATAGAGTTTGAACATTTTTGTTGACCTAAAACTATACAAGTGACTAAATTTTTAAATGTTTAATAATAAGTTTTTTTTTCAAAGCACAATAAATTCTTAAAAGTTTAATATTTACTTAAGACTACTTAGTGAAATGAGCTTATCAGTTTTTTTTCTGCAAAATTTCTAATAACATCATCAAAATTAATTTCTCTGGCAATGCTTGACTCAGTATTCAGTCTTGCTAAATCAACAGGTCTGGGTTGAGACATATTAGACCTTAAAAAGATTTTGATATGTTTGATTTTGCTAAAAGATGTTTCTGCTGACGCTACTGTAGATGAAACTATCAACAATATTCTCAAACTAACACAAGCATTAGGAAATATCTCACAAAGTTTGAAATTACAAAAAAAAAAAATTAAATGAAAAAAATCAAAATAAGTATGTATGGCTATGGCGCCCCGTCAGGGATTCACATCCTGGCCCCGGACCAAGTTACTGGCTGAACCTCCCCTCTCACAGGCCCTGACTGCCACTTTCCTTAGAATCTTGGCTTTGCGCTCTGTTTGTCCGCATCTGTCTGGAAAAAACTCACTTCCAGTAAACCAGACTCTAGTCTACAAGCGTTAATGTATCATTCATTGCTCCTACACGACACTACTTTTCAGGGAAAGCATACGTATTACTTCGTCTTTGATGTAATACACATCTTGAAACGTGAATGCACACGAGCGCAGTTTTCCACCTGGTGTTGGTCCACTTGTGATATACATGTATTGTGTTGCTTGCCTCCAGTGTTCGTCTTTCGTCACTATCAAGCAAACAGTATTTAATTCACTTTTATTACCTTGCTACAGTTATCAGGAAGAGAGCAAATGTCAGTTTGTCTCTCTATCTGTTTTGGGCAGTTAAAGTTTTCGACAACATATCTTGGGTTCAGGCAGCGTGGTCAGTTGTGACGCCTGGCCCACAAGGCTGGGCTCTGGCAGCAGAAAAACTCGGAACTCATCAAAGGTAGGTAATTTAGAGATGTGAAGAGCGCCTCAACCTGGGTGATCATTCAACACTTTGAATTAACCAATAAATTCAACACACACAAGAACATCCAGGTTTAAAAATTTAACAAATAGTAAAAATATCAGGTTAAAAAAGTTAGGGAAAATACTCCACGGAGAACAAAGTACTCGGTCTAGGCCTTGGTAGGGGGGGGGGGAGCTCTGCTAACAGGTGACTGTGGGTGAGAAAAATAACATGTGGGTGAAGCTAGACTGGTGCAGAGTTCGTGGTTTGACTTACTAAATGCAAAGCGCAAAATTATAATTCAGTGAGCACATGTTGCTTGTGTGACGCAGAGGCTGAAGTGACCGTCCTCCCTTGTTCTTTCCTTCTTTCCTTTCAACCCTTATATATATATATATATATATAATATATATATTATATTATATATATATATTTTTATATATATATATATTATATATATATATAAATATATATAAACCTTTAAAACTTTGGATTTTAAATACACTGTAGTTTCTGAAAGATTATGTTTTGTGAACAATCGTAGTAAGACTTTATGGAGTTGATTTATCAGGGTTAAGCCTGTCAACTGTACAAGTCATTAATAACGATGCAGTTGACCTGTACATAAACACTGTCGGGCGATGGGGTAAAAAATAAATGAAATAAAAATGATTTTCCTTCTAAAAAAATAGGTATAGATGAAACAACACTGCCAGTGAGAGAAATTCATATGTGTATTTACACTGTGGTTTTCCACAGTAATACTCCTAGGGTGACCCAGGCTAGGGCCAAGGGTATCCTGGCTAGCTTGGGTGACCCACGCTAAGCAACGCTAGGCAACCTGTCTGGTTGGGGTTACCGAGGTGGCAGAGGTGACTGGGCTCGGTACGATGATAAGATTTTAGTGTTATATTTCTCCTCCTACCTAACTTCCTTCCTCAGTACCTTAACTTGGCTTTAAAAATCTGTTAACATTGCGATAACAGCAGCAAGGCAGTAGTGCGAGGAGTGTTGCAAGTGGAGTGTCAGTCTTCAGCTGTCCTGACGTAGTGTTGTGTGTACTGATTATATACTATATATTTATACACTGTTATGACTAATGGTCCAAGTCGGACCGAAACGTCGTCATAAGTTTGTTTCTTATGTGCGGGTTATTTGTGTATTGTTCAGTCACGGTATTGTGGCCTTTTATTGTTTAGTGATGATTATATCCCTCAGTAATGGTTATCATGTAGCACTTCACTTCAAAACCCACACTGTCTTCTATGTTTATAATACAAATAATAAAAAATAATGCAAGGTATAATAATATATTTGATTTATTCTTATCAATAAACTAATCTCTTGTGCAGTTATTTTAAGTCGTTGAGTTATGTTCTTAAAGTTCATGTTCACACTTAAGGTATTGGAGAATATAATTACCTTTGATATTACTCTTATATATAAAATGTTTATTTAATAGCATTGTGTTATATTGCATATATAGTTTATATGATTGTGTTTCAGTATAATGTTTGGTAAGTGTTCTCAGAGAAAATTGGTTGTATTTTTCTTCCTGCTAATTAAACTTCGATATTTCTTTGTATTTGGAACATTTTTTTTTTAGTAATTTTTTTTGCCTAGATTTGGTAATTTATAATCTAATCATTGTTAATGGGCTTTGGTAATATGCTGTGTACCTTTGGTAATGTGTTATGTATCTTTGGTGATGTGTATCTTTGGTGATGTGTACCTTTGGTGATGTTAACTATTGCTTTAACTATAAGTGCAGATGTGGGTCTCTGCGGCCCAAGACCGGCCTCTGGAAGAAGAAAAACTCTGGGAACTCATCAAAGGTATATATTAGAGGTGTTTGTGACGGTAAAAGTTGTGTGACTAATGAGGTAATTCTCTTTACAGGTAGACTGAGAGAGCAGCTCTGAGGCACTCACCCAAGAGTAAGTAGAAACCTGTGTGTGTGTGTGTGTGTGTGTGTGTGTGTGTGTGTGTGTGTGTGTGTGTGTGTGTGTGTGTGTGTGTGTTGTGTGTGTGTGTGTGTATTGTGTGTGTGAAATAAATTTCTTGTATATATTTTCCCCGGGTGTTTTTCATCAAGCACAAAATTATAATCTTATATATCGTTTTTTGTTTCTACCACCGAGAGTTTTTTCGGGCCTTTAAAAAAAACGGGGAAAAATTTTTATGTTGTTTTTTTTTATTTTTCCAATGATTTTAATAGACACTAACTACTTTATTAAACCTAACTACTTTTTTAAAGACATATACAACTTTTTAAATAGACCTATACAACTTTATTATAGCCAAAATACTATTTTATTAATGCACTATCTATTTTTTATTAATAAAAATATACTACTTTATTAATAACACTAACTACTTTAAAAAAACTTACAACTTTATTAAAGACAATATACTACTTTTTTAATAGGCATATACTATTTTTATTAATAGACAAATACTACTTTATTAATAGAACTTACTACTTTATTAAATAGACCTATAAAACTTTTTTAAAACAAAACATTTTTAATTAATAGACACTGTACACTTTTTTAATAGACACGTACTCTTTTTTAAATAAAAATAACTATTTATTAAAACACTGTACTCTTTATTAATAACAATAAATTTTAAATTAATAGACACTATATACTTTTTTTAATAGCACTGTAACTTTATTAATAGACAATATATCTTTATTAAAGACAATATACACTTTTTTAATAAAATAACTATTTATTTTTTAGACACTTAATCTTTATTAATAGACACTGTACTACTTTTTAATGACAATATACTATTTTATAATAGACAATATACTACTTTATTAAAAAACACGTACTACTTTTAATAAAATATATTTTTTTAAATAACAAAACACTTTATTAATAAACACGAAACTATTTATTAATAACAATAAATACTTTATTAATAGCATAACTACTTTATTAAAAGACAATATACATTTTTTAAATAAGACACTTTTAAAACATCCCAGATTTATTCTTAGGGGTTTTTATTCGGGAAAGATTTTAAAAATTTAAAACCAGGGTTGGGGTCACTGTGATCCGTGAACTTTTTTAAACATTCTACCCGACAAACCCCCGTTTTCCTTGATTGGTCCTAAATTTTTTGTACACTCTAACACATTTTGTAGGAAAAAGCTTTTTCAAAACCCCGTATATTTCTGTGATTCCGTTATGTAATGAAAAATGAGAATTTTAAAAGAAAAAAAAACTCTGATGATAAGAGGGGTTTCTTTTAAACCTTGTGCCCCACATCCTATATTGTTGTGCCTCAAAAATTACGTTCATTTTAAAGCTAAGAATGTAAAGGGTTTATTTACGCCCGTATCAAAATGTATAAAGCGCGGGGAACCCCTCGAAGACAAAAGAACCTCTGTCTTTGGGAAATTTAATTGGTTTTCCCAGATTTTTGTGAAATTTAATTTTCTTTATATTGGATAATTTTTTTCCATGGGAATAATTTAAATTGATTTAAAATCTTCCAGACCCCAAAAAATATCTTCAGAATATTTTTAAATCAGAATATTGGTTAATTAAGCTTGTAAAATAACATGTAAATGTGTCACATTAGCACTTTTTATTGCGCCTTTATTTTTTATAATAGAAAATAAGGTAGATGTTGACATGCCATATTCCTTGTTGGGTCAAAAAGACGTATTCCATATTCGTGTTTTGAAATTTTTTTCAATTATAATAATGGGGAAGCGCTAAACCCGTAGGATTATACAGCGCATATGGGGGGGGGGGGTTGGAATGTATTCAGGCTCAATTCAGGGAACCGGAGAACAGAACCAGTTCCGTAGATCAAGAGCCCCTCACCAGCGTCAAGGAACCTCCCTTGAGGGGTTTTTTCTTCACTGTTCTTATTCGGGGCCATAATCACTTATTTTCAGTAAAATAAAAATAACACAGTTATGCCAAAAAATAACAGTTGAATCTCAAGAGCTCATAAAACATGCGACGTTGCGAATATCCGTACTTGTTTTCTCGTTTTTTTTCTTCCGAATACTGGGTTTTACGAATAAAGGTACATCCGAATATAGAGGTTCGACTGTACTTTGAATGTATTCTGGAGCTAAGAAAATAGAGTTGTAACTGGTAATACACACCTGGATGATAGTGAAGATTGTAATCCCAACTCTACACGCTATTATAACAACTTCCTAGAGTCGGCGTTATGGGTGAAAGTGTAAAATGAACCTAGTGAGAAGCAGGGTACGCCACGGGCACAATAAGAGAATGCTGTGTCAACATTTGTGGCTCAAGACTATTTAACCTGTTGCCAGCAGATGTCAGAAATGTTGCCGAAACAAGTGTAGAAAGAAATCTTATGAGAAAATGGACAGCTGCTTCTGACAAGTGCCAGATGAACCAACGTGTAATGGGGCAGCAGGCCAGTAACAGCAACAGTCTAGTTGGAAAGCGCTCAGCAAGGAAGCTTGATCAGTTGCAAGGCTGGTAGGATAGAAAACCCCCGACACCGGTCTCATTTATAGCAGGAACCCCATATATAGGGAAGACAATATACATAGTATATTTTAGCCGAGTGCTTCAGCATTCGGCTGAAGAGGACCTCATTTTGAAGCTGAAATGTACAGTACCCATTTGTATTTTTCACTTGCATTCTCTTCTGGGGTAAATATGAATATGTAATATACTCGGTTGTAAAATCTGCCATTAGAGAACCACAAGGATATAAATTATTCAGTATGTACTTTAAGTAACACACAGATTATGAAACAGTTTTCATAACCGTTGTGTGATTTCCAGCGAGACGAACCTTCCATTTTACAAAAGTACTTTAGTCACTTATTATAACTGCTGTTAGAGAGGTACAAAGGTAAAGTCTCACAGTGTACAACATGACACTCCTGCATGTACACATTCATACTGAAGTGAGTTAATAATATAATATTTTACACAAGGGCATGTGGGTTCCTAATCCTTGTGCATAATCACATTATATTTCTGTAGAATTATTTTCCACACTCCCTCCCCCATGTTCCATGCCACATGCACTTTCTCTTCTGTTTTATTGCTTTCCTATTTTACATTTTAGTTTCATGCATGGCTTCGCATGACTTCCTGCTCGCAGATCAACTTCTTCTCTTCTCTTCATTTCTGGTTCTACTTGGGTTCACTTCAGTGACTGCATTGATTTTATGAGCTAAGACCTATTAGCCTCTTTCAGCTCATTTAAAAGACTTAATATACAAAAATTATTATTGGCGTGACCTTCATTATATATATATATATATATATATATATATATATATATATATATATAGGTAGTAGGTTGGTAGACAGCAACCACCCAGGGAAGTACTACCGTCCTGCCAGATACTGTGAAACAAAAACCTGTAACTGTTTTGCATGATGGTAGATTGCTGGTTTCTTTTCTGTCTCATAAACACGCTAAGATAACAGGGATATCTTGCTACTCCTACTTACACTTTGGTCACACTTCATAGACACGCACATGCATATATATATATACATACATCTAGGTTTTTCTCCTTTTTTCCTAAATAGCTCTTGTTCTTTTTATTTCTTCTATTGTCCATGGGGAAGTGGAAAAGAATCTTTCCTCCGTAAGCCATGCGTGTCGTATGAGGCGACTAAAATGCGGGAGCAATGGGCTAGTAACCCCTTCTCCTGTATACAATTACTAAAAAAGAGAAGAAGAAAAACTTTATAAAACTGGGTTGCTTAAATGTGCGTGGATGTAGTGCGGATGACAAGAAACAGATGATTGCTGATGTATGAATGAAAAGAAGTTGGATGTCCTGGCCCTAAGCGAAACAAAGCTGAAGGGGTAGGAGAGTTTCAGTGGGGGAAATAAATGGGATTAAATCTGGAGTATCTGAGAGAGTTAGAGCAAAGGAAGGGGTAGCAGTAATGTTAAATGATCAGTTATGGAAGGAGAAAAGAGAATATGAATGTGTAAATTCAAGAATTATGTTGGATTAAAGTAAAGGTTGGATGCAGGAAGTGGGTCATAATAAGCGTGTATGCACCTGGAGAAGAGAGGAATGCAGAGGAGAGAGAGAGATTTTGGGAGATGTTAAGTGAATGTATAGGAGCCTTTGAACCAAGTGAGAGAGTAATTGTGGTAGGGGACTTGAATGCTAAAGTAGGAGAAACTTTTAGAGAGGGTGTGGTAGGTAAGTTTGGGGTGCCAGGTGTAAATGATAATGGGAGCTCTTTGATTGAACTTTGTATAGAAAGGGGTTTAGTTATAGGTAATACATATTTTAAGAAAAAGAGGATAAATAAGTATACACGATATGATGTAGGGCGAAATGACAGTAGTTTGTTGGATTATGTATTGGTAGATAAAAGACTGTTGAGTAGACTTCAGGATGTACATGTTTATAGAGGGGCCACAGATATATCAGATCACTTTCTAGTTGTAGCTACACTGAGAGTAAAAGGTAGATGGGATACAAGGAGAATAGAAGCATCAGGGAAGAGAGAGGTAAGGTTTATAAACTAAAAGAGGAGGCAGTTAGGGTAAGATATAAACAGCTATTGGAGATAGATGGGCTAATGAGAGCATAGGCAATGGGGTCGAAGAGGTATGGGGTAGGTTTAAAAATGTAGTGTTAGAGTGTTCAGCAGAAGTTTGTGGTTACAGGAAAGTGGGTGCAGGAGGGAAGAGGAGCGATTGGTGGAATGATGATGTAAAGAGAGTAGTAAGGGAGAAAAAGTTAGCATATGAGAAGTTTTTACAAAGTAGAAGTGATGCAAGGAGGGAAGAGTATATGGAGAAAAAGAGAGAAGTTAAGAGAGTGGTGAAGCAATGTAAAAAGAGAGCAAATGAGAGAGTGGGTGAGATGTTATCAACAAATTTTGTTGAAAATAAGAAAAAGTTTTGGAGTGAGATTAAACAAGTAAGAAAGCCTAGAGAA